ATGAATGGATGGATGATGGATGGATGAATGGATGAATGGATAATGAATGGATGGATGATGGATGATGGATGGATGGATGGATGGATGGATGGATGGATGGATGGATGGATGGATGGTTGGATGATGAAAAATGAGCAGAATGGTGATTAACTTGTGAACTAATAATTAACCCAACTGATTAACAAAGCAGAAACTTCACCACATGTTGATGAAGGATATAGAAAAAAAAAAACAATCTGTTACTTAAGAGAAAAAAATCCAAAAACAAGTTTGTAAAAAAGATCAAATGTTATCAGTTGAGGTTTATTGATGTTTCTTTCTACCTGCTGCTCTCAAAGCCTCTTTCTCACTGAAAATAGCAGCTTAACGCGTTTTCCAAACATGTGTCACAGTCAGCATAAGCCTCCTTTCCCATTGGCTAAAAAGGCTGGTTTAACCCCTTGCTGGCTGCTGCAGGGCCTCAGTCCCTCTGGCAGAGTCCCGCCAGGTCAGGTACCCGGCGGGACTCTGCCAGAGATGGACAGTCTGGCTTGGCTCAGCAGGATTCTCCCCCATCCTACCAAGCCTGTCCCTTTAATGGACAAGGTCTCAGCCGGTGTTCCTCCCCCCGCCGTACAGGGCACAGGTTCAGCTTGAAACGTTGATCCCTCTCCTCCCTGGAAAATGGGTGCGTCCCAGATGTATTGGTTCAGGACCGGAAGTTTGAGGCGAACCAGATGTTGCCACGGTAACGGAAGGAGGAGCAGATTTCAGTTGTTATCCCAGTCAGTACTGCGTCCTGTGAGCAAAGTTTTTCTGCTCTAAAACTGATCAAAAACCACCTTAGAACAACTATGGCTGCTGACAGGTTAAGTCAGTGGTTCCCAAAGATTTTCTTCTGGGCCCCCTTTGGATTACAATAAAATTTAATCCTCCCATCTTTTCAGTGGCTGTAGTGAGCCTGCTTGTTGCTGCAGATCTTCTTAAATCTGGGTTGCAGTGTTACAACTGTCCATTATGCTCAGTCAAGCAAGCGCTGTTTTTTTTTTGTTTTTTTTCTTCATTCATCCATACCGCTTCCCGCGCCCCCCCTGCAATGGCATTGCGCCCCCCTTAGGGGGCGCGCCCCACACTTTGGGAACCACTGGGTTAAGTCATCTTGGCATTCTCAGTGTTGAGTCAAGGAGGGCACATGCCCTCAACATGGATGACTTTGTAAAAGATTTTGCTTCTTCCCACCAAAATCGGAGAATTCTGCTCTGTTGAGTGTATCCTGGCTTTGAGTTTGCAGTATGTTGTTCCCATTAAAAGCTTATTTGACCATAGCAGGGTTTCTCAAACCTTTTTAAATACCACCAGGGTAATACTGGTCAGCTCTGGTGGTATTGTCTTGCACTTTACTATTTGGAGGCAGTTTTATTTATTTATTTTTGAGAATTTGTTTTTGGTCAAATTCTGGGCTCTGAGTTTACATTTACATGTTTACTGTTCCATAGTGCCGTTTAAAGTCTTGTCTGGTCATGGCAAATCTTTGTTAAATAAACCATTTTAATTTGAGTGTGTGAGAAAATATTTGTTCCCTTTCGTTCATCATTTGTATATGGACCCCTCTGATAAAGCCTTGCTCACCCTTTGGCCAGCCCTTGAAGAAAAGTTTAGCTCCGCCACTGGTCACGGAGGACGATCACGAGCATGTGAGTCACTAACCTGGTTTTATTTTTCAGGCTGTGCCTAGAAGAAGGAGTGGAATCCAGCCTGATGACTTCAAACAGCATGTGGCAAACGCCACCCAGAGACTTCCAGAAGCAGAAGAAAAGAAGGCTTCTGAACTGGCTGATGAGCAGAAGCAAGCAGACAAAGGAAAGCAGGAGTTTCCAGAAGGCGAAGCCAAAGACTGTGCTGACGAGGTAAACAGAAGTCCAGGCCAGAAGATAAGAGATCTGAATAGGTACCGAAGGGAAATCCAAGCCGTAAAAGGGCAGAGTGCCTTCTCTAGGTTGGGGAGGATTTACTGCCCCTAGTGGATCAGTTTAAGTATCTTGGGGTCTTGGTCACGAATGAGGGGAAGATGGAGCGGGAGGTCGATAGGCGGATTGGTGCGGCGTCTGCTGTGAAGCGTGCGCTGTACCAGTCTGTTGTGGTGAAGAGAGAGCTGAGCCATAAACCAAAGCTCTCGATTTACTGGTCGATCTACGTTCCTACCCTCATCTATGGTCAGGAGCTTTGGGTCATGACCGAAAGAATGAGATCCCGGGTACAAGTGGCTGAAATGAGTTTTCTCCGTAGTGTGTCTGGGCTCTCCCTTAGAGATAGGGGGAGGAGCTCAGTCATCCCGGAAGGACTCGGAGTAGAGCCGCTGCACCTCCACATGGAGAGGAGCCAGTTGAGGTGGCTCGGGCATCTGGTTAGGATGCCTCCTGGACGTCTCCCTGGTGAGGTGTTCCGGGCACGTCCCACCAGGGAGGAGGCCCAGGGGGAGACCCAGGACACGCTGGAGAGACTATGTTTCTCTGCTGGCCTGGGAACGCCTTGGGATTCCCCCTGAGGAGTTGGCCCAAGTGGCTGGGGAGAGGGACATCTGGGCCTCCCTAATGAAGGTGCTATCCCCGCGACCCGACCCCGGATAAGAGGAAGAAGATGACATCAAAGATGCTCTCCAAAACTGTGGATATCCAAACTGGGCTTTTATCAAATCAGCAAGTAAATCCAAAAGACACGCAACAGAAGACAGCGATGGGAAAATTTAATACAAAAACATCACAATCCCGTATGTTGCTGCAGTGTCTGAAAAGCTCAAGAGGATTTTCTCCAAACCAAAGATCCCAGAACATTTCAAGCCAAACCAAACCCTTAAACAGAGGCTAGTGCACCCTAAAGATAAAACCCCCAGACTATATGAGCGGAGTGGTATATGCTGTTCAGTGCAGCGAGGAATGCTCTGATCTTTATATTGGCGAAACAAAACAACCTCTCCACAGACGCATGGCCCAACACAGAAGAGCGCCCTCCTCTGGACAAGACTCTGCAGTACATCTACACCTTGTGGACAAAGGACATGCTTTTGAGGACCAGAATGTTCACATTCTGGATAAAGAAAATAGGTGGTTTGAGGGGAAGGAAGCCATCTATGTTAAGAGAGAAAAACCAACTTTAAACAGAGGTGGGGGGGGACCTCAGATTCCAGCTTCTAAAAACATACAATTCAATCATAGACATGATCCCTTTCAGATATCACCACACCCCCCCACCCCATCACAGAGGAACGAGGGACCTACCCGCCCCAGCCGGTGAACAATACCTCCTTAACGACCAACCCTTAACAATCATAGACAGGTTTCAGGTATTACAGGAGATAATCCCCCCCTTTAACGACCGACCCTCGGAATTTACATGTTTCCAAGCGATACAAGGCTTTGTCTATATAAGACTCAAACTCAGTGCGGATCCAGACATTTGAATCGAGAAAGCTTCCTGGAGAGAAAGCAAAACATCTTCAAATCTTGGAAACCAAGTCCAGTCTGCTGTCATGATTCATGCAGCTATTATTTCATCCAAATGAAAAATGGAGAACAGATAAGCAGATCATGGCTTGTCTACAGTGAAAAGAAGGACTGGGTTATTTACTTTGGCCTTTTTGGAAACACAGGAAGGAGCAATCAGCTAAGTGAGCTTAGTGCTTGGAAAAAATCTTTCATTCCTTTAGAGACAGCATGAAAAGTCAGCTGAGTACAAAACATAGAGAGGAAGAGAGGAAGAAAAGGGACAAGAAGAGAGGGACGCAACCTAGAACTGATAATGGATGTCTATTCTATTAACATCTCTCTATCTGGAGAATGGGTCTGTTTGATGTGTTATCTTCTCCATACAAAGGGGCCCCTAAATCTGCCCCTGCTGGGAGCAAGCAGCTTAGATAGAGACAGGAGCAGGTAGATGAGATGAACAGTAATGAGAAACTGGTTAGAGCTTGGCAGGTGAATGAAATGAACCATTAAACCAGTCATCAGTACCAAGAGCATGATAGTTCTCCTAATTAGGCATCAAAGTGGGGAACATTTCTCCCATTTAACCATTACATTGAGGACCAGTTGTTGCAAAGTGAGGATATTTTTCTGGTTCTCAGATCTTCTATCTTACTAATGCTTAGGTTAAGGGCTGAGCTGTCACTTGCTTTAGGGTTAGAGATAGGATAGGTGTTATTTTTAGGGGTGGGGCATAGAAAGGGTTGAAGATGACTGAAAATCAAGGGGAGTCATTGATACCCTTTTCCCACTGACACGTGTCTACCGGGTCAAACGACTCTGACAGCGGGTCGCGTTAAAATCACCTCAGCTCTGATCGGCATGCTGTGGGAACACCAGAGTGGGGTCGACCTGCTAAATTACATGGTAGCATTGAACGCATCGTACGGACGTCAACAAACTGCGACAGTCACTTCTTATCTGACAAGCAGAATCAACTCTGTTTCCATTGGATAAACATGGAGCAGCTCTAGTGAGAAGGATTCAGAGAGATAACAGAGAGAAACAATAAAGCACACTGACTACACCCTGGCTTCTTTCCATGTTGCTCTCCATTGTTTACTTTCCTGACGTATGTCGCACTGTTGACATCATCAACACTAACCGAGTGGAATGATGTCACCAGAGATGCAGCAGTGGGGAGGGTAGAGTCGATGCAGCTGCCAGTGAGGGGTTTAACCAGCTTTTTAGGCCAATGGGAAGGGAGCTAAATACTCTACTTTATTGTTAGCGGGTTGAAATATATTTGAAAAACAGGCATTAAGCCTCTATTTTCAGCAGGAAAGAGGCTTTAGAGTCAACACAAGGTCCTCAGTACATATAGAAAGACAAGAGTGTGTGTGTGTGGCGATGTTTTTGTTACCTTGTGGGGACATTTTCTCAGGAACATCCTACACTTTGGGGACTTATAGGTACTTGTGGGGACCGACAACTGGCCCCGATGAGGAAATGTTCTCTTCTTGGGGCGAGGTTAGGGTTAGGACTAAGGTATGAATTGAGTTTAGGTTTAGGGTAAGAATCTGGGTAGCCAATGGAAAGTCCCCACAAGGATAGAGTGACACTACATGTGTGAGTATATCTGCCTACCTTGTGGTCGCAGGACAAACTGGAGCGTTCCATTTTACGTGGTCTGGAGGGGGACGACGGCGAGGAGACAGATCTGTCTGGAAACGCTGGTACTGGAATCAGGACACAGCAGGAATCAGGAAAAAGAAGAACAGCAATGGATTTGAGCCAGAGATGTGAAAATATATCCGCCATCAACGTACCGCTGAAAGTGACGGTTTCATTGAGGTTTGGTGACACCAGCACCGTGTCATACCTCTCTCTCCCTCTCCTCCACTCCTCCTCCCTTTGTTTCCTCCCCATCTCCTCCCTCTGTCTCCTCCACTCCTCCTCTCTCTGCTTCACCATCTTGATCTCTTGCTCCACCAGAGACTGGCTGCTGATGGAGCGCAGCTTGAAGAAGGGATTAGAGGAGAAAGTGCTTTCCTGAGTATCCATGGGTGGCGGCCCAGAGCTCAGGCAGAACTCAGAGGCGCTGCGAATGATCAGATTGGAGGTTTCCACCACTATAACACTGGCAGAGGACGCCACATCCAGGCTGGCCGACCAATCAGAGAGGCCCCCCATGGCAGAGGACAGCAGGCGGCTCCTGGAGCTGGAGCCAGAGGAGTCGGGTTCCAGAATAATGACGTTGTTGGCTGTCATTTCATGATATAGGGGGAGAGATGAGGAGCAGGAAGGGGATGGCGAGATGGAGAGAGTAGGAGTGCGGCAGACTGTAGGTTTGGGCACAGACCGTCCTTTCCCAGGGGTGGGTAGTCTGATCGCAAAAAGAGAAATATGTCAGCTGGTTCTGAAAGCATGCGGGAACGTCAGGGTCCATTTATCATACCTGGGTACCGCCAGACCCTGCACAATCATCCCCCTCTCCCGCCGGTGCTGCTCCTCTCGCTCCAGCGTCAGCCGGATCTCCCTCTCCACAGCACTTTCCTGCTCCTCCACGTGGCTGCGAAACGAAGAGTCATCCAAGCCTGAGTCCTCAGAACCAGGGGACAGGGTGGAGGACAGAGGAGGTTCTTTGGGCATGGGGGGGTGGAGTTCCCTTGTGGAGGACAGGAGGAAACCCCACTCAGGTTAGGAGGAGGTTATACTGGGAATGGGGGCATCTGTCAAAATCTGTTAGTCTTCTGACAAAGCCTAGAAAAAAGATCTGATCCATAACTGGTTTAATGGAGGCGGAGCTTAAGCTCTGGAGAAGCCATCCTCCATCTTTATCAGTGACGGCGGCATCCAACCATGTCTCCATGATTTGCTTTCTTTGACGTTTCTCATAGTTCTGCTTTACTATGAAACTCACTCTTTTCCTTACAGCTCATTAAATGATCACCAACAGAAAATATTAAGCCTTAAAACAAATTAAATTCAGGTACATTTATTTCAATGATCTTTGATATGTATCAAAACATCTGATCAAAAGAATAAATTATATTTAGGTAGTTCAAACTTTAGAAAAAACTTGCCCACAACTTTGTCAGTTCAAAAAGTACAACAGTTCATGAAGATTTCTGCAAACCTCAATCTGCAATAAGAAATAAAAGGCTGGATTTGGGGGAACAGCGCCACCAGGTGATCATGGAGCATGAATGCAAGGCGTTCAGGTCTGATGCTTCACAGCGAGCACAGCTCTCTGAAAGTTAACGTTGGTTTTGATGTGCACCAATGGCCAGACATTCATCTGCAGTTCAATGGAATACAGAATGAATGTAAACCTACCTGTGTCTGAGGCGAGGGCTGCGAGTCGGAGGATACAGGGAAGAGTGGGTACCCTGGAAACTCCCCTTAGCTCCCAGGCCTGGTTTAGGAATGGGCAAGCCTTTCACCTCCTCCTCCATCTTCTTCCACTGCTGGCGAGCAACCAAAAAGTCCAGATGCTCTGTGGAGACGTTCTCACTGAGGTTCTCCTGTTGCACACAGAAATCTAAAGGAAGCTGATAAAAAGAAGAGAAAAAACAATCATCTATCCATTTTCTCCTGCTTATCCTGTCAGGGTCTCAGTGGGGCCGGCGCCTGGCAGTCCAGAGGCGAGAGGCGGGACCGCCCTCAACAGGTCTCCAGTCCATCGCAGGGCAGCACCGAGACACACTGAGACAAACAGCCACTCACACCTAAGGAGAATCTAGAGAAGCCAATGAACCTAACGGTCATGTTTTTGGACTGCCGGAGGAAGCCGGAGTACCCAGAGAGAACCCACGCATGCTCAGGGAGAACATGCATGCAAAAAGATCGGGCTGGGAATTGAACCCGAAACCGTGCTGCTGCAAGGCAATAGGGCCCCAAACTGTGTCACCATGTGGTTAAAAACACATCATTAAAATGAAGGTTGTAGTTCTTTTCCTTGGTGAGGAGTTCAACTAAACACCGAGTGAAGGGTTTAGAAAAGCAATAAATGAGAATTTTTTTCTCAATATTAATACTTCCTCATATAGTTAAATAGATCTAAGAAAATAGAACATGCTGAACACAAACAAAGCATATTTTACAAACCTCTCCTTGTGTTCAAAGTGATGATCCCCTGCATACATAACATCTTTCTACCTTAGTGACAGCAGGGGGCGCCATTTAGACAACATTGAGATTGCCATAAAAGACCTGGCATGACCTCTGAAACACTGAGACACGTGCTTAAAGTGAAATGTTGACTAATTTGAACATTTGGAATAACTTCTGTCTAAGCGGGTTGATTAGATTTTCTGTTTAAATATTAAAATTACATTTTAAAAACATGGCTGAGTTAAATCTGTAAATGTTGTACTGGAGTTTGATGTACAGATATAGTTTTTATATTTTGGAATATTTGGAGTATGGAATAATAAAAAAAATGTCTATAAAGTAGATGTTCTTGTAGAAATCGTCTCTAGTCTCGTCTGTTGTCTGTATCTATATTTCTCCACTTTGTTGATGGTCATTAGTTCAGTTTCTCCTTAAATCTCAAGTATTCTCCCTCGTTTTAATGTTATTCAGAATCAATGATGATTGGGCCTGAAAAGTTCAGTTTAGACTACTGGACGTACAGTTTTCTAGAAAGACCTCTAGAAAAACCATGACCTGGAGGACTGAGAATCTCCACAGATGGGATCATAAATGGTAGGAAGTGGTTCACCAGCTCTCTGCACTCTGCTTCATGTCCCAATGTCTGCCAAGTTGTCTGAGAATTTCTCCGCAGGAGGGTTAGGGTAAGTCTGATCTTCATCCCTGACCACACGTCATCATTCTGCTGGAACTTGTTCTCCAGCTTCTTCTTTATGCCTTTTTGCTTTCTTTTATATTAACTTTATGTTGGTTAGGATTGTCTCTCAAAAATGTCTTGACTTCTTTTCTGAAGGCTCTTTTTTCTTTTTTTGCAGTTCCTTCAGATCACTGCTGATCCAGGGTTTGTTACTGGAAGAGCATTGAACTAGTGGTGAACAGAGCAGCACACCCAGGCATTAATGTTGTCTCCATATAACTTACATCTAAACAACCTTCTGAAGCTTCCATCTTTTTACAATTCTCTTCATTGCAGGTTGCATTTGATAAAGAGGATTATATTCTAAGAAGAAAACTAGGTTTGTGATCTGATCTGCCAAGAGTGTCTCACTTCCATAATACAATTGAAAACCATTGCTGTCTCCAGTTAAAGTAGTGAGTAGCTGTGGTGTCGGAAGTTAAGCAGTGATTGTGACTGAAATCATCACTTATTGCCACTAACATATTGGGGTGTTCTCCCTGTAGTTTAGCAACGATTACACTGATGACATCACAGGTAATGTTAGCAACAGTAAAAAAACAATAAAATGAGAATGGGGAACTCTCTGGGTAAATAATAGGCTGCAGAAACTAAACCTCCCAATAATATTTCCTGGATTACAGAATCAGTTCTGCTAATCCACCTCCTGAGCTTCTGCCAACCTTCCCTTAATGTCTGTCTGCTACCATCTAAAAGCTGAGGACATGATCCTGCAGCAACATTTCAGTCAGAAACATAATACTGCATTCCCAATCTTCCACTTGTTAATCCAACTAGTTTGCTTAAGATATCATATTGCCCATAATTGATGAAAGAGAAATCTTGGTTTTCTTATTTTTCTACCTTCTCTTTGCTCTTGCTTATATCCTAGTTTCCTCCCATCCACTTATCTTGGACTCTGGAATATAGTTGAAGTATTTCCCTCTGATTAAGTATTAGTTTCTTTGTGTTTGTTTACTTTCCCCTTTGCTCCCTTCTAGTTGCTTCCATCCACACCTGCTCCCAATTAGCTAATTAGTCCAGTCTTTGTTCTGTCTTCTATATTACTCTCCCTGTGCAGTTCCTCAGTGCTGGTTCCTCGTCTTTTCCTGGATTTCTCCTAGATTCTGTTTTTTTTTTTTTTTTCTGTATTCGTTATTTTGTTTTTTTTGCCTCTGTTGCCTGTGAGTTCTTCATTAAATCAGCAAAACTCGTCTCATTGTTTGGGTCCTCAAAACCTCCACTGAACCTGACACTTCGGCTTTGTTCGAAAACCTAGGACGCATCCTTAGAAGACCGGATTCAAAGGTGGATTACGTCATAGTGCGGCGCCGAGGTCTGGTCGGATTCCAAGAGTCCTCGATATGCGTCCTTAAAATGCGTCCTTCTTTTTGCCCAATTTGAAGGACGGGTCCGATGTATCCTCGGTATTCTTGGATATCCCATGATTCATTGCGAGACCAAGCAAGCTGTGATCAGAGGAAAGGTTACTTGGCGCCGAACAGTGGTGAAAATTGGAAGTTAAGTTTAATATAATACAAGTCATTTAATAGTTCCGTCTGAGATTAATGAAAAATAGTTGTTTTAATGGTCTGAAACGGCGAATTCACAAAGATTCAAAGGGCCTGATCCCAGTTTATAGCTCAATTGGAAACAATTTTAACTGGTTAAGAGGTGATGTATGTAGTTTATAATAATAAATTGAAGGAGACAAAATAAAATGTACATTAATTTTATCCTTTCTAGAAAACGGTTGAGAGATTTTGTTTAATTTTGAATATTCCTGAAATTATTTCAAAAGTTAAGAAGAAATAACCTTTTTTTTCTTGTACATAAAGTACATTTTTTTTGTACAGATATACAAGAATAGATGAGGAGTAAATCGGTAAATAATTACACCTTCTGGAAGAAAAGGGATTTTCTGTTTTGAAAGTGAGGAAATGGGCCTAAAGTCTGAACTATGACAACTAATGGAAACACGAGAGCATTGACGACTCAAGTGGTTTTTAAAAATCTTAAAACAAGAGAGTGTCTATAAGGAACCTTTCTATGTATTGTTCTGCTATTAATGGAAAAACCAGCCCTCCTATCAGCCAATCAGATTCAGTTTATCCTCTTTCATTTGTCTGGACAGCGCCCCCTGCTGTCACTCAGGTGGAATGACGGAGATCCTTCAATAAGAAACTTGGAATTAATTGTTTTGTGAGAAAGAAAAGGCTGTTTTATATGAGAAGATGGTTAATTTTACAGTTAAATATGCTACATTTATAGAAGCTCATGTTGCTTAAGTTCTAGGCGTTCTGGATCTATTTCCACAGTTATTCTAATAGTCACATCTGTAATTATCACAATAACTATGAAATACCAGTCAGAGAAACTGTTTAGACAATATAGTGCATCAAATAGTTTCAGGTGCTGTGGGGGGGGGGTGTAGAAAGTAAAATATTATATTATGCACTTTGGCAAAGTGAGAAACAAAACATTATGTAGGAACAATAAGGTGAAATATCAGGGATCCAGGAAGTTACTGCTTATTTACAACCAGAAAAAAGGCTTAAAATGAGAGATGGCAAAAGTACTCACTTTCTGTACTTGAGTAAAAGTACAGATACTTGTGTTAAAAAATACTCTGGTAAAAGTGGAAGTACTGATTAAACTTCTTTACTCAAGTAAAAGTAACAAAGTAAATTTACTT